GGGTATACTTTGTTTCGTAGCTTTGGGGAACAGAAGCCCAAGGGAAGAGCAGCTTGCCCAAGAAGCAGTAGCAACAGACACGTGCCTGGAGGGAGCATGATAGCATCTGCCACGTGGAGGAGAGCATGAGCCATTCTCCAGCACTAGAAAAGATGGCATTGCAGCCAGCAGGAATGTGGCATCATTCTAAAAGCAGTGAGAATGACACTAATGCTGTCTCCGAGTTCACCACTTCCCTCTCAGGCCTGCACTCAACCCCTCTACTGCTTATTTCCAGTGTTTCTGCATTAACTACCACCTTCTTTTTAAGAACCAATGAATCTCAGACATTCCCATGGCCCAAACTCTCCCTTTCCGACACCATCTTAACCGTGCTTCAGTAAACATGAGTTGTCAACTCTCAAATGTGTGTCTCTAGTCTAGACTTCCCTTCTGAACTTTAGACTTGCGCATCCAACTGCCTTCTCCCATCTGCACCTAGAGGTCGCTAAAGTTTTACCAATTCATCATTTCCACGCTCCCTCCAGGCACCTGTCTGTTGCCACTGCCTCCTGGGCAACATGATTCCTTAGGATTTTCTACACATAAGACTATGTTATCTGAAAATAGAGATCATTTTACTTGTTCTTTCCAATCTGGATGCCTTTTATTTCTTGCCCAATTTCCCTGGATAGAATCTCTGGTATGATATTGACTATAAAGATGAGAGTAGGCGTCCTTGTCTTATTTTTGATCTTGGGATAAAACATTCATTCTTTCATCGTTAAGTATGATGTTAGCTGTGGGTTTTTCACAGATGCCCTTTATCAGTTTGAGGAAGTTCTGTTGTTGATTTTTAAATAATGAAAAGTTGTTAGATTTTGTCAAGTGTCTTTCTGCCTCTGTTGAGATGGTCAAGTGGTTTTTATCCTTTATTCTATTAACATAGTGTGTTATGTTAATTGATTTTACAATGTAAAACCAATCTTACATTTCTGGACAATTCCCAAGTGAAAATGGTGTATAATTCTTTTTACATGTTACTGGATTCCATTGACTAGTATTTGGTTGCTTTTACATCCATAGTCATAAGATATATTGGTATGTAGTTTTTTGTGTAATATGTTTGTCTGGTTTTTGTATCAAGGTAACATTGACTTCTAGAATGAATTGGGAAATGTGTAATATTTTTCTGTGTTTTGGAAGAGTTTGAGAGGATTTGTAGAAATTATTTAAATATTTGTTAGAATTCACCAGCAAAGTAATCTGGGCTTGGGCTATTCTTTATGAGGGTGTTTTATTTTATTTTATTTTTTTAGACAGAGTCTTGGTCTGTCACCAGGCTGGAGTGCAGTGGTGCAATCTCGGCTCACTGCAACCTCCGCCTCCGGGGTTCAAGCAATTCTCCTGCCCTAGCCTCCTAAGTAGCTGGGACTACAGCTGCGCACCACCACACTCAGCCAATTTTTGTATTTTTAGTAGAGACAGGGCTTCTCCATGTTGGCCAGGATGGTCTCCATCTCTTGACCTTGTGATCTGCCTGCCTTGGCCTCCCACAGTGCTGGGATTACAGGCGAGAAGTTTTAAATTACTAATTTAATCTCTTGTTATAGGTGTTTTCAGATTTTCTATTTCTTCTTGAGTTAGTTTTGGTAGTTTGTATCTTTCTAGGAATGTGTCCATTTCATCTAAGTTATCTAACTGGTTGTTTTTAGTATTCCCTGATAATTCTTTTTTATTTTTGTAAGGTCAGTAATAATGTCCCTCTTTCATTTCTGATTTTAGTAATTAATCTGTTTTCTTTTATTGGTCATCTAGCTAAAACTGTCAATTTTGTTGATCTTTTCAAAGAACCAGATTTGGTTAGACATTTTTTTTTTCTGTCTCCCCCTTCTCACTCTCTATTTCCTTTATTTCTGCTCTAATTTTTATTGTTTCTTTCTCTCTCGCTCTCTTTTTTTTTTTTTTTTTATGAGATAGGGTCTTGTTCTGTTGCCCAGGCTGGAGTGCAGTGGTACAATCATGGCTCACTGCATCCTCGACCTCCCAGGCTCAAGTGATCTTTTTTTTTTTTTTTTTTTTTTTTTTTTTTTTTTTTTTTTTTTTTTTTTTTTTTAGAGATGGGTTCTCACTATGTTGCCCAGGCTGGTCTCAAACTCCTGAGCTCAGGTGATCCTCCTGCTTTAGTCTTCCAAAGTTCTGGATTATAGGCATGAGCCACCATGCCTGGCCTATTGTTTCTTTCTTCTTGCTCTGGGTTTAGTTTGATTTTCTTTTCTTGTTTTCAAGGTGGAAGTTTAGTTTATTGATTTGAGATTTTTCTTCCTTTTTTAACATTGACATTTATAGCTAAATACTTCCCTTTAAGCACTATTTTAGCTCTATCTCATAAGTTTTGGTATGTTGTATCTTCACTTTCATTCATTCTTTTAAAAATATTTTCTATCTCTTTATTGATAATATTTGTTGGATGAGACATTGTCAACATACCTTCCTTTAATTTTTTAAGCATGGTGTCCTTTAGTTCTTTGAACATATTTACAATAGAGGCTTTGAAGTCTTTGTTAAGTCCAACATCTGGGCTCCTCAAAGGCATTCTGTTGCCTGATTTCCCCCTTTTTTTTTGGGTCACACTTTTCTATGTCTTTACAAATCTCATTATTTTTGTTGAAAATTATGCATTTCAGATAAATTTTATAGATTCTGGATATTAATCCCCCTCTCACCTGGGGCCCGTTATTTGCTTTTTTATTTCTTTAGTGACTTGGCTGGAACAGATTATTGAAATCCATTTCCCTCATAGTGTAATGTTGCTCCTTAGAGAGTGAAGCCTTGGCCATGCACGTAGTCCCTCTGATGAGCTGAGATGACTGGAGTTTTAGCAGGGTTCTCTTTAATTATGTCTTCTCTGGTTCCCTGTTAAGCTTCTTTCTGGGCTGACTTTATTGGTAACATATCCAGCTGTTAGCCGCCAATAACTGCTAGCTGATTGCTCTATTTTTTTTTTCTTTCTTTCTTTCTTTTTTTTTTTTTTTTTTACAATGTCTAGGGCATAAATTGCTCCATCACCTGATTCAACTAGTCAGGTCCCTTTGCTGGGGCAGTCTTTGAGGCTTGCTTCGAGCCCAGGAGAGCTCTGCTTAGCTGTCTCTTTCCCTGGTTCTCTGTTAAACTTCTAGCTGGTCTACCATTTTATTTGTTGCTAGTAGTTTAATGGAGCTAAGAGCCTCCTCCTAATTGTTTACCACAAAAATCTCCACTGTTTTTGACAGCACACTTAGGCATGAACTTCCTCACATTTTCCTCTAAATAAAGTAGTGAGTCCTTTTCTTTTCTTTTCTTTTCTTTTCATTTCATTTCATTTCATTTCATTTCATTTCATTTCAGACAGAGTCTTGCTCTGTCGCCCAGGCTGGAGTGCAATGGCATGACCTCGGATCACGGCAACCTCCCATCTCCTGGGTTCAAGTGATTCTCTTGGATCACCCTCCCGAGTAGCTGGGATTACAGATGTGTGCCACCATGCCTGGCTAATTTTGTATTTTTAGTAGAGGCGGGATTTTGCCATGTTAGCCAGGCTGGTCTCAAACTCCTGGCCTCAGGTGACCCGCTTCCATCGGCCTCCTAAAGTGCTGGGATTACAGACATGAGCCACTGCACCTGGCTCAGTAAGTCCTTTTAGAAAAAGCCTCTGAATTTTTTATTCTTATGGCCTTCTCTCCCCCTGGACAGAATCTCTACCACTACCTCAGAGTAGGGGTCCACTTCTTCTGAAATGATACACCTGCCTTGCTCCACAAGTGGAGCCTTGGATTTGGATGGTAGCCCATAGTCTTTCTAGCCTGCTCCTCCTGGCATAAAACCTATGAGTGAGCTGGTGTGGAGGTAATTGAGACACAATTTTCTGAGTCTTCTGTGCCTGAGAATAGCTTCTGCCATACAAGAGGGGACTGGCTTTTGGAAGGAAACCCCAATTGAATCCCCTACCTCAACTTCCGAATAGTAAAAGAGTTTCTGAATAGTAATGGAAGGTGAAGTATGCTGAAAGAAAAGAGATGAGAGACCAGTTAGGAGGCTCTTGTAGAAGTTCAAGAGAGATTTGAGGTTTCTTTGGATTTGAGGTTGAATCCAAAGATCCATCTCTAGCAGTAGAGATGGTTAGAAGTGGTCTGATTCAGGGTATATTTTGAAAGTTGAGCTCACAGGACTTGCTGATGGATAGAATGTAGAAGGTGAGAGAAAAGATCAAAGATGACTATTCTCCCAAGCCATTCCTTTAACCATACTTGGCCATTATGAGAGTGGAGAAAGAAAACAAGCCAGAAACTTTCTTCTTGGAGATTTGGCTAAAAACCAGGTTGTAAAGCAATCAGTCAGCAAGTATTTGCCAAATGCTTGCAGGTGGCAATCGATTCGTTCATAAGCTTCACCCTGTGAACACATGTGTTGCCAGAAAGGGGTCCTGATCCAGACCCTAAGAGAGTATTCTTGGACCTCATGCAAGAAAGAATTCAGGGAGAGTCCATAGAGCAAAGTAAAAGCTAGTTTATTAAGAAAGTAAAGGAATAAAAGAAGGGCTACTCCATAGGCAGAAGAGTGGCATGGGCTGCTCAACTGAGTATACTTGTAGTTATTTCTTAATCATATGCTAAACAAGGGGTGGATTATTCATAAGTGTTGTGGGAAAGGGGCAGGCAATTCTTGGAACTGAGGGTTCCTCTTACCTTTAGACCATATAGGGCAACTTCCAGACATTGCCATGGCATTTGTAAACTGTCATGATGCTGGTTGGAGTGTCTTTTAGCATGCTAATACATTATAATTCATGTATAATGAGCAGTGAGGATGATCAGAGGCCACTTTCATCACCATCTTGGTTTTGGTGGATTTTGGCTGGCTTCTTCACCACATCGTGTTTTATCAGCAGGGTCTTTGTGACCTGTATCTTGTGCTGACCTCCTATCACATCCTGTGACTAAGAATGCCTAACCTCCTGGGAATGCAGCCCAATAGGTCTCAGCCTTATTTTGTCCAGCCGCTATTCAAGATGGAGTCACTCTGGTTCAAACACCTCTGACACATGCAGCTCTTCAGAAAACCAGCCATCATTTTCAGCCTCTCTTGCCACAATAATATTACTATAAAAAATACAAGTCAACTTCACTTTTTGAGTCTCTGCTTTGCCCACCCCCTGACTTGTGCTAACCTACTCGATCCAGCACTTTTGAGCTGTTGGCTTTAAGATTCAGCTTCCCTTATTTCTCTTAAAGAGGAAACTTTTAAATGGTGGCTCTGTCTTACCTGGATCTGTAAGGATGTCACTGTGTTTCCCAGAATAAAAGCTTCTGTTATTGGCTGAATATGCCCTTTTCCCCCCAAATACTATATAAAGGATGAGCCCTTTACATATAATGCAGATAGAATCAAAGTCTTCATTCACTAAGCAAGCATTTATTGAGTGCCTACTATGTGCCAGGTATTGTGCTAGGCATTGATTATACCATAGTAAATAAGACAGTCTTTTCCGTCAGAGAGTTCAAAGAACATGCAAATTGAATGGTTTGATAACAGTGTTATATTATGTAAACTATGATTATGTAAATCGTATAGCAGTGGCTTCCAACAGGGAGTGGGGAGGCAAGGCAGGCAAGACTTTCAGAGATGTTGAAACATGGAGGATCAAAAATATTAGCCAGAAAAGTTGGGAGTGGGACAAAGTAGGGTACTCTACGTAGGAGAAATAGCATGATCTAAAATTCAGAGGAAGATGTGTATATGGTAACTTGGTAGATCTATGGATATGAGTTGGGTAGAAAGTAGAGTCTAAGAAGGAGGGATAAGAGAGGGAGACAAGGGTCAGATCATGAATGTAGCTTTCTAAATGACATTAAGCAATTTAGACTTTCTGAATTTTTAGTACAGTGTAGATACTGGATTGAGGTTGGCAGTTTGGAGGCAGGATGACAGTCAGGGAAGAGGTGATGGTGGCAGGAACAAGGCAGGGAGGAGGAGGTGAAGGGAAAAGAGAAGCAGATGAACTTAAATGCTGACCAGGTAGAATCAACAGTTCTTGGTGAATGACTAGGGGAAGAAGTCAAGGGTAAAGTCCAGGTTTTGGACTTGGCAAAAAGTTGGAAGGTGGGAAAGAGACCCAGGAAGGATGAGGAAGCTTGGCATGGTCTGGTCTGGAGGAGGGGAAAATCATGAATGCAGTGTTTGGACACTGAATCTGAGGGTCTTTTGAGATGTCAAATCAGTGATAGGATATACAGATCTGGAACTTAGAGAAACCTGAGCTGGGGATATACATTTGCAAGTCATCCACATGTAAGTGGTGTTCAAAATCATGGGGATGGGTGAGATTGTCTAAAGGGAAAGCCTACAGTGAAAAAAGAAGAGGCTCTTCTATGCCTGGGCCTTGAGGAACTCCAACACTGAATAGCTGTGTAGAAGAGGATATTCTATAAAACACTGAGAAGTTTCCAGAGAAGTGGAAGAAAAATTGGGATACAGTGTTTTAAGGAGAAAATGGTCAATAAGGTTAATTGTTGCTGAGAGTTCAGGTGAAATGAGAATTGGAAATTATCTGTTGGAGTGAGTGAGCACCATGGAATTTAATTTTTATTGTTTCCTGAAGCTGGTTCAGGGGACAGAAGGGAGCAAAATCCAGATTGGAATGGGTTGAGGAGGAAGTGGAAGGTGAGAAAATAAGGCCCATGAATGCAGACAACACTTTAGGGCAGTTTGGCCATGAAGGTGAAGAGAGAGAGGCTAGTAACTGGATCAGGATATGGGAACGAGGGTGGGGGCAGGGTGGGGGGGTTTCAAGAAGGAAGATCATTAGGTTAAAAAAGCCAAAGAGAAGGATTTAGTGGAAGAGAAGTTCAGCAGAGAAGAAGCGAATAATAAAAATGTTCAGTTCTTGAGAAGGTGGGAGAGGATGGAATGCAAAGCCGTGATGGTGGGACTGGCCGCCAACAGCATATGGAACATCTGTACCATAATGTGGTAGAAGAGGGAAGACGGACTATGAAGGGAATTTATATGTTTGGCATTGGAGAGTTGAGAAGTTCCTGTCTGATGACTTTTTTTCCCCTCTGGGAAGGAGCAGAAGAAATGTGGTCAGGAGATGAGGAATGAGATGATCCATAAACTGAGGTAGGTGATCATAAGTTCCACATGAAGTAAGCTTCCCTTGCATGTGGGTCTCTGTATTCAGCATTTGCCTTGCTGGGGCTTAAGAGAAGACAGGGCATTAGGTCCATCCAGGGTTATGATTGCTGGAAACAATTCAGCATTTCCCAAACGAGTCTTTCTCAAAATACTCTCCTGACAGATTGTAATAGGTATGTTGAGAAAACAAAAAATGTTCCCTGGTCAAAGTTTGGGAGAATCACTCTATTCTCTATTCTTTCTCTCTCTCTCTCTTTCTCTCTCTCTCTCTCTCTCTCTCTCTCTCTCTGCTTCTTTATTTCTCTATTTGATGGAGTCGTGCTCTGCCACCAGGCTGGAGTGCAGTGGCCAATCTCAGCTCACTGCAACCTCTGCCTCCCAGGTTCAAGCGATTCCCCTGCCTCAGCCTCCCAAATAGCTGGGACTACAGGCGCGTGCCACCATGCCCAACTAATTTTTGTATTTTTAGTAGAGACAGGGTTTCACCATGTTGGCCAGGATGGTCTCAATCTCTTGACCTCGTGATCCACCTGCCTCGGCCTCCCAAAGTGCTGGGATTGCAGGCGTGAGCCACCGCGCCCGGCCACTCTACTCCTTACTTAATGTAACTCCAGTTAAATTTAATATAATCAAGTTTTTCAAGTTTATTTGCATCCAGATTGCTTTGTGTGTGCTGCATCTGTAAAGGCCTCATAGCTTGGTTTATGATACATCATAAAAGAACCAGGGGCCTTTTTTCCTTTGAACATGTTTCCATCATCAGCACTTAACCATCGAAATCCACATTGATTTAGGGCAGAGCAAGAGCTAAGGCCTGAAAGATGCCTCAGTCTTTTTTTTTTTGAAATAGAGTCTCGCTGTGTCCTTCAGGCTGGAGTGCAGTGGCGTGATCTCCACTCACTGCAACCTCCGCCTCCCGGATTCAAGCGATTCTCCTGCCTCTGTCTCCTGAGTAGCTGGGATTACAGATGCCTGCTACCATGCCCGGCTAATTTTTGTATTTTTAGTAGAGAGAGAGTTTCATCATGTTGGCCAGGCTGGTCTTGAACTCCTGACCTCAAGTGATCCACCTGCCTTGGCCTCCCAAAGTGCTGGGATTACAGGTGTGAGCCACTGCGCTGGCCGGTACCTCATTCTTCATGAAGAGCAGCTTCATGTGTTTACTGCATGTACGTTTCTGTCATTAAAACACAAACAATAAACTAGCCTCCTTATTGTCCTTTTAGGTTCATAAGAAGCCCGCTTGAAAACTGGTCAGGGGGCAGGCACAGTGGCTCATGCCTGTAATCCCAGCACTTTGGAGGACTGAAGCAGGAGGATCATTGAGCTCAGGAGTTCGAGACCAGACTGGGCAATATAGGGAGACTCCCCCATCTCTACAAAAAAGAAGAAAAAAAAAAAGAAAACTAGCCAGGAAAGCAAGCCAATGCCCATCCCACACGGTTAGGTTGAGGGTTGGGGATGGGGAGAGGACACTAGTCAGAGTTACTTGTATTGTTATTATTTTTTTATTATTGAGAGAGAGTCTCCTGCTGTCATCCAGGCTGGAGTGCAGTGGTATGATCCCAGCTCACTGCAAACTCTGCCTCCCAGTTTCAAGCGATTCTTCTGCTTCAACCTCCCGAATAGCTGGGATTACAGGTGCCTGCCACCGTGCCCTGCTAATTTTTGTATTTTTAGTAGAGATGGAATTTCGCCATGTTGGCCAGGCTAGTCTCGAACTTCTGATCTTAAGTGTTTCACCTGTGTCAGCCTCCCAAAGTGCTGGGATTACCAGCATGAGCCACCGCACCTGGCCACTTGGGTTATTTTTTTACTACTGCAACTAACTGACGTTGTCATAGGTCTTTACGGTTTGAAAATTGCTCTTCTATGTGTGACTTACTTAATCACAATTAATTATTGTTGAGCAAGGAACATAGTTGGGGGTTTGACAAATGAAAAGGTATGTTGAGAAAAAAAGAGAGGGGCTGAGGAAGGAGCTGAAAATATTAGGGACAGTGGATTCAATCATACATTCTCAAGGGAAGTGACCGTGGAGTGGTAAAAGTTGGTTCTTGGGCAGGGGGCAAAAACCCTTAGATATTACAATGGTTTGTAGTCCTTCAAAGGGCCACAATACATAAACAAATCGACAGTATATTTGTTTTGTTTTGTTTTGTATTGAGACAGGGTCTCACTGTGTTGCCCAGGCTGGAATGCCAGTGAGAATCACGGATCATGCAGCTCGACCTTCCAGGCTCAAGGATCTCGCCACCTGGTCTCCTGATAGCTGGGACTACAGGTGTGGCACTAACACTCCTAGCTAATTTTTGTATTTTTTTGTGTAGAGACAGGTCTCACCGTTTGTCCAGGCTAGGTCTGGAACTCCTGAGCCTCAAGCAACCCACTGCCTCAGCCTTCCAAGTGCTGGGATTATAGGTGTGGCCACCACGGGGCCAATGGTATATCTGGTGATATTAAATTTTGTATGGGGCGTGGTGGGCGATTAGGAAACAATGTCTGCAAGGCTTTGCTGGAGTGGTGATTGGGATGTTAAATGGGGAGAAAAAAACAAAAAAGAAGGGTTGAGAAACACTAGTCTCAAGCCTGCAGTGTCTACAGAGCTTTTTGGCATTCATGAATGGTGTCTCTGTTCCCAGTCACTTATACATGTTTGTCTAGCACATTTGCTTCAGCCTTCATTCATCCTGCCCATTTTCCCTGAGGCCCTAAATGATCACGTTTTGCTTCTTTAAACCCTTTCCTCTTCTGGCCACAGGTGCCTGAATTAGGGTGGACATGAGCCATGACTAGTTAAGGCACAGCAAGTGACTGGTCCCAGGAAGGCTGACTGCACCTCACTTCCTCTCCTCAGTCTTTTCTTGGTTCACCTTGTGTGATGCAGCTCTGTGGTTTTGTAATAGCTACTCTACTACTCTCCTCTTGAGATGGTTACCAATGGAGTGGGTATCAAAAAGCCCTGGTTATATCTCCCCAGTCAGGACATTTGGGCTGGTGGCACATCCATTTGAATGAGGTTGGATGAGATGAAAGGGAAATCCATTTGAGTCATCAGCTCTTTATCCTTATCCCTGGTTGGTGTAGAGTGGGGGTTTTCAACAACTGCACGATTGACGTTTTGGAACAAATAATTCTTTGTTATAGGAAACTGTCGTGTGCTTTGTAGGATGTTTATTTAACAGCATCCCAGGCCCCTACACAGTAGATGCCAGTAACACCAAATCCCCCGCTCTCCAGTTGTGACAATCAAAAATGTCTACAGATAAATAGATAAAATTATTGTCAATTAAAAATAAAATATAGTCGGGCTTAGTGGCTCATGCCTGTAATCCCAGCACTTTGGGAGGCTGAGGAGGGTGGATTGCTTGAGGACAGGAGTTCAAGACCAGCCTGGCCAATATGGCAAGACCCCGTCCCTACTAAAAATACAAAAATTAGCCAGGTGTGGTGGTGCACACCTGTAGTCGCAGCAACTCAGGAGGCTGAAGCAGGGGAATTGCTTGAACCCGAGAGGCGGAGGTTGCAGTGAGCCGAGATCACATCATTGCCCTCCAGCCTGGGTGACAGAGTGAGACTCCATCTCAAAAATAATAAATAATAATAATGATAATAATAATAATAAAATAAAAAAGTCTCCAGACATTGTCAGGTGTTCCCTGTGGGACAAAATTGCCTCCAGTTGAGAACCACTGTTGTAGGTAGAGAACCTAGAAGATCAGGAAGTATAAATCTCATCATTTCAGTATGATCAGAAATGCCATAGAGGGGTTCAGATCAGAAATGGGAGAAAAGCATTGTAACTATGATAGTCACAGCTAATGCTGAGTGAGTGCTCGCTAAGGATGTTCCACACATTGACTCATTAGCCCTCCCAGCAACTCCAAGGAGTTGTCCTGCTGTTATTCCACCCATTCTATACTTGAGGGATTTAAGACATGGGGATGTTGAGGGAGCTTGCCTGAGATCACCTAGCTGGTAATAGCGGAGTCACCCAGGCAGCACGGTTCCAGTGCCCAAGTGCTCGCAAGTGCATAACCTCTCCTCTTACTATCACGGTTCTACTTCCTTATCCTCCAGGGGGCGCAGCACAGTACCAAGCACACAATAGGTTCTCATTAGACTCATTGATTCTGTCCATATTGACTTTGACATCTCCTGGGGCACTCTGTTCCCAGATCTCTGCATGGCAAAAGCTCCCTTACTTGGAGGGGGTCTCTGCTGCAATCTCACTTTCTCTGCGAAGAGGTCTCCTATTGCCTCTGTAGAATAGCACCCTTCTTCACTGCCAAGCCCCTTCTCTTTATTTTTCTTCATAGTACTTAGCATCTGACATATATTTTTTGTTCTCTTGCCCCCAACAGACTAAAATGTCTGTTGTATGAAAGGAGAGGCTTTGCCTGTTGTGTTTGCTGCCGTATCCACAGCACCTAGAAGATTCCTAGGCATATAGTAGATACCCATTAGTTGTGTGAAAAAAATGAAAACATCCCTTAGCCGAGTGCTGTATTCAAATTTCCTTACTCTGGTTATTGGTTACACTTTTCCTTGTCACTGCATTGAAAAAAACAAAGCAAAACAAAACAAAACAAAAAACACAAAAAAACCTTTCTCTGAATGACCAGGGACCTTTATCCAGAAGTGGGGCATAACCCTTGACACGAGGGGCAGTGTGTTGGGGACCCTCAACTAATGCCTGTCAGAGGTCTATTGTTAACTGGACTAGGTCACTTAGAGTTCATTTTTACTTTTGCTTTGTTGGTCTGTGAAAGTTATTCAACAGAGTCATGATAATGTACATAGTTAATGAAGTCAATTTATATTTAGCTTGGGTATAAATCACATAGTAAATTATAAATGCTATTTTGAGAAACATATTACAGACAATTCAATGGCAGATTTTTGCATAAAAATTAACAGACATTGATTTTCTCTCTCCATAACCACTATTCATAAGCTGAAAAAATGTAGTTTTAATGAAAGTGTATTAAAAACTTAGCAACTGCTCTCATTCTATAGAACATGAAGTCACGGCTGGGCATGGTGGCTCATGCCTGTAATCCCAGCATTTTGGGAGGCCAAGGCAGGCGGATCACCTGAGGTCAGGAGTTCAAGACCAGCCTGACCAACATGGCGAAACCCCGTTTGTACTAAAAAATACAAAAATTAGTCAGGCGTGGTGGCGGATGCATGTAATCCCAGCTACTCGAGAGGCTGAGGCAGGGAGAATTGCTTGAACCCAGGAGGCAGAGGTTGCAGTGAGCAGAGATCACGCCACAGGACTCTAACCTGGGTGACAGAGCGAGACTCCATCTCAAAAAACAAACAGAAAGAAAATGAAGCCACATAGTAACTACAGATAGAAACAGAGTTAAGTTACTGTTGACACCCCTTTGCCTAAAACCTATTCCCCTTTCACCATCCAGATAATTACTTATAAATTTTGAAACCTCCACTCCCCGACTCCCAATTACAAACAGTAGGAGTTGGAGGAGTTGTCTAGTTTGGGATTCTGTAAAGAAATCTATTGCTGCATTGCAATTAGGCAATTCAGGCTGTTATGGTTACATTAGACTTGAGAGAGGCTCATTCCCTAAACCCTAAAAATTAGCTTTGAGAAATTCGATCAATTCACCCCTAATCTGGGTTTAAACCCATGTACAGACTCTATGCAGCTAGACAGGCTGAGGTGGAAACACCTTTCTGTTGTTGGGGGTTGGGGATGGGACAGATGTCTCTGAATTAGGAAGGATGTCTTGCAGAACACCATCCTGTATGCTTGTCACCAGTTCTCATGTCCCCAGATGCCTCATATCTCACAATTGTTGCCACTCTCACCACTGAATCCCAGTTCCAGCCTCCTGAACACTTCAACAAGACACTGTGCCATTGTTCACTGCAGTCTTGTTCAACACTGGGTCAGGCTTTTAAGATTATATAGCATTTTTTTTTTTTTTTTTTTTTTAGGCAGTCTCGTTCCGTCACCCAGGCTAGAGTGCTGAGGCGCTGTCTCAGCTCACTGCAACCTCCGCCTCCTGGGTTCAAGCAATTCTCCTGCCTCTGCATTCTGAGCAGCTGGGATTACAGGTGTGCACGACCACACCTGGCTAATTTTTTTATTTTTAGTAGAGACATGGTTTGTCCATGTTGGCCAGGCTGGTCTCAAATTCCTGACTTCAAGTGATCTGCCCACCTTGGCCTCCCAAAGTGCTGGAATTACAGGCATGAGCCACCACACCCAGCCTATATAGCATGATTTTATATTATGCACTCTATGCTATATAAAAATGCCATGATATTATATATTCTTTTTTTTTTTTTTTTTTTTTGGTATTTTGTAGTAGAGACGGGGTTTCACCGTGTTAGCCAGGATGGTCTCGATCTCCTGACCTCGTGATCCGCCCGTCTCGGCCTCCCAAAGTGCTGGGATTACAGGCTTGAGCCACCGCGCCCGGCCGATATTATATATTCTTTAAACTTTTTGGCCTAGGAGGATGGGATTGAATGAGGGATTAGATGATACACATATAAAAATGAATTTAGACCACAGTGTCCAATCAAACTTTTGCAATGGTGGACATTATATCTATGCTGCCCAATATAGTAGCCACTAGCCTCACGTGGCTATTGGGTCCTTGAAATGTGGCTAGTGTGACTGAGGAGCTAAAAATTTATTTTTAATTAACTTAAATCTAAACAACTATTGGTGGCTAGTGGCTACTCTATCAGAGAGCACAGATATTTTCTTCAAGGGTGTGGCTCTTAGATTCTGGACCTCATTGGATATCTCAGACTTGGAATGCAGGCAATTTAAAGCTGTTCTAAAGTGGATCTTGAATAACTCTGAGACTTCTGTGTGGCTAGTCTCTTTTCTTGTATTAGGATGGGGTGATCTTTTTGGAAAAGGACAAGCAGGCATCACATAGGGATGGCTCATAAAGAGGTTGCTAACTTTAAAACAATTCAGACAGAGACCAGACTTTCAGAAGGGAAATCAGAGGTAGTTGAGTCTACCACTGTCTCTTTCCTCACTGGCCCTCTTCACTGTGTTCACACCGTCATCTGCTGTTCTGGTTTTATTTTTAATGCTGGGAAATTTTACTCTGACATTGTTTAGGGGGTAAACATTTGCCTTGTAGAGGCAAGCGTTTGCCTGGGAGATCCTAGGCTCTTAGGAGTTTTTAAAGATTTGGACATTAGAATAAATTAGCTTCTTTAAAGCCACATGTAAATTAACTTCAAGAGACCCAGCTGGGAAAAGTAGCTACTGAAGTATCTCAGGCAGTGGAGAAGCTCAATCACTACTCGGCCGAATGGAGTGCAAGAGTTCTGACCCGACATCCAGGACGCTTTATGAAGCTCGTCAAAAGGTGGCAAAAAAAGAAAGAGAAAATGACACAATCTCTCAGACTTGGACAAAGTGAGATACTTAAAAAGTCAGGACTCAGAGGTCCACGGAATTCCAGACATATAGGGAGCTTCTTTCTATTCTTTCCAACACACGGACATCACCCGTGTCAAGAGCAAGTGGCATACATACTCTGTGTTTGTGGAAGAGTCACCTTTCTTGGAGCAAGAAGGCGAACAGTGTTGCTGCCTGGTGCAAGGTGCGCTAGTGCCAGGCTAGCCATGGAAGAGTCACCAGAACTCCAGCCCCCATACTGGGGGATTCTGATTCTAGCAGATTTGAGGCAGTGCCTGGCAATCTGCATTTTTTAACAGGTGAGATTCTATTGTAAAACTAGATCTGGGGGCTCCTGCCAAGATTGGTAGTAACAACTTTTCTTATTGGGAGAAGTGGCCAGGAGGAGCTAAATAGCACCAGTCATACTAGAACTGAGGTCCTCTGGCTGAGGGATCAGAGTAAAAAAACTCTCTGCCCAGACCCTAGGTGACACATATGGCATTATCACAACTTATACCTCACACAAGAAAGAAAGGGCTTAGCTGCTGATTGTCTCTTTTCCACCAGTTCTTGAGAGGGCATAGACTTAGTTCATCATCTGAAACCAAACATTATCTTAGCAACTTTCCATATAAATGGGTGATAGATAATAGCAAAGGTGTTTAAAAAAACCAATAAAGATGATTACATCTATTCTTAGCTTAGGATCCCATAAGAATGAACATTTACTGCTAATAATTAAGAAGCATAAAAAGGGACATTCTAAACAGAATCTTATTTTGGAATTTTAGTATTAACAGATGGCAGCTTCACAGGTCAAAGTCTCCTATGTGATAGGAAAATGCAGAGGGGAAGTGATATTCAAATGCAGCCCAGGCACCCTGTGAACTTAAGAGCTTGCTCTTTTGTGCAGAGATTTTGTTTCATATTTCTGATTACCGATAGCTGTGATGATCAAGCTCACAAGTAGGCATCCAACCTTGTTCCCACTTCCTTCCTTGAATCCACTGGGAACTCCGAGGGCTCAGAATTTGCATCTCTGTGGAAAATGCTGGTGAGCTCTTTGGTGAAAGATCCATTCCCCATTGGGCAAGATGTGGACAGGGAGGTTTATGGATCAATTCCACTGATACCGTGTCATGCTTAATAGGGCTCCAGGCCACAAAGTCTCTGAAGTCTGCCCAGACAGGAAGATCAAGAAAAGAAGAGCAATACCCTGTTTCACTGGTGGGATGTGCTGCTCACATAAGGTTCCCGAGTCTGTTTTCTAGACACAAGCATGGACACAAAAATCCTTCTGCTTGAGCATGTGTGGGCACAACTCACACTCAGTGTGATACCCACAGACATGTAGTTAAGGCTCAGAGATGTAGGCAAGGCTCAGAATCATTCAGAGAAAGTGACTGAGGCTGACACCAGGTGGAGGCAAAGCCTTCTCAACCCTCTTAGTGGTTTTGCTCAGGGACAGTCCATGTAGACAGAAGATCCAGCAACAGGTTTCTCTGTTCTTGTTCAGATCTGACGTGGCGGTAGCCCAGCAAATTCATGGCATCGCCACAGGCTTTCTGAAGTCGAGAAACCTTTTCATAGGGCAAAGACCAGCGCCAAGCCTGGGAGACATTTAGGGCATCCCTGGCATTTGTTTGGAAGGCGTGGTCACCCATGCCCTTGCCTCGGGTGATGTTATGCACCCAGGTATGAAGATGGGGCAAGAATTCCAACCCCACGAATTCATACATTCGGGAAGTCTGGGCCACAGGGGCTCGGACCAGGTCCTCATAGCGCACGAGCAGGTAGCGTTCCTGCAGGGCCTTGGGCAAGGACTGGATGGTCTTGTAGATCTCCAGGTGGCTTTGGCAGATGACCTGCATCACATAGTAGGGTTGGTCCTCCTCCTTGAGTTTGTGCTCATGCTGCCCCATCACAATGCGACTGTCAATCATGAGATCTCCCTTTGTGCGTTCTCGGGAACGGAACACGGCCCGGGGGTCCCGGACCAGGTGCACGATGTGCAGGTTGAGGGAAGGGTCTTTCAGCAGCGGGTAGAGGGACTGCAGGTTGAAGAAGCGCACCTCCTTGAGCACCACATGGCTGTAGGAGTGGCAGGCCTTCTCCACCACCTCAAAGGGCTGTTGACTGCACAGGAGCCTGCAGTGAGCCTGGGGGATGATTTCTTCTCGTGGGATGATGTCACAGGCAGGTGCTGAACACAGGGCCCGGCTGTTCTCCCACTGGAAGAGGCTGGACTGTCTCCGGGGACCAGGTTCCATGTAGGCATCAAAGACGCTCATGTCACACAAGAACACGGCCCGTATCAGATCCCGCACCGCCATGTGAAGCGTCCAGGCGGTGCTCTGCTTGAAGGTCATCCACACATGCCAGGCAGGCTCCATCAGGTAGAAGACATCTGGGTGCTGCCCAAAAAGCTGCCCCACAAAAGAGGAGCCAGAGCGCCAGGAAGACAGAACCAGCACGTGCACGTGCATGCGCTTGGGCTGTTCCTTCATAGACAGGGAGCTGATGTTGTGGCTGTTCATATAGAAGAATAGAGCCAAGATGGCCATCTGGAAAACCAGAAATAGCAGGACCTTCATTTTTTTAGGCAGTAGCATTGTCCTGAAGTGGCAGACCTTTAAGGAACAAATAGAAAGGGTGGAGTTGGGCTGCTGTTTTACTGTTTGCCTTCTATTCCCCTTCTGGCCAAAGCCACCTGCTCTCTGACCCTCCACCAAGGAGCAACATGGGAAGCCAGAGGATTCCTGCCAACAGTGGCGCCAATTCCTCTCCACATCATTTCCTGTCCTTTACACTTAGTGTGTTGATACATTCTCCTTCAGGGTCTTTAATTCCTCCTTCCTGGTCTTTCTAAACCAAGCCGCCTTGCCCATTGGTTTACCAAAAATATCTGAACTGAGCCATATTTAATCAACATAAGGAAATGGCTCCATCATGGTGCCCTGCCGACAAGGATGTCTTCAGACAGGCCATGTAGGGGAGGCTTCACCTCAGTCTAACTCAAGTCTTGGTTGAATGCCTTGTGATTCCTGCAGAAACAGAGGGAGATAAGCTACCTAGTGGAGAACTGCCTGGAGGCCACTGCTTACTCATCCCTCCATCATAAGGGAGACTGCAGCCAAGACTGTGTCTCATCTCCCTCCCTCACTGCAATTAAGCACAGGACTTTCCACTCCAGTCCCTCAAAGGATAGGGCTGCAGGCTGTACAACTGCTTGGCTTTAGTTGGAATTGTCTCCTCAAAGGCAGAGCCAGGTGCTCATGGTGCCTGTCACCTATTTATCTGCTAGCTGGTGTTCTGCCATCAGTGTGCAGTGAAAAGTCTACTTCCAGCACCTGACCTCACCTGCCCATTTCTCACTCTGCCCTAGATAGCAAATCCTTCTGATTTGGTGTCATCCCGTGGGACCAAGGCCATGGGGAGTTGATCCAATGTTGACCTTGTATCTGTGTAGGTAATAAACTGTCTGACTCTATTTGAGCTGAATTAGAGTTATTTGAGCTATTAGAGTCTCCTTACCTGCCAACTCTAAGAAAGCATGGCAAGCCAACCTAAGTGCCACAGATCTCAGAGCTGTGTCACTCTCACCGGTGATACTTGTGACCCATGACTCCCACATTGCTGCTTGAGGCATGCTTGATTACGTGGGACAGCCTACTCAGGGCAGCTCAGTAGAGTTGGGCAAGCGTATATCACACAACCCTAGGGAGTGCCATCCCATCAAGAATTTAGATATTTATTTTCAAAATGTTTTTTTGTAGGTGACAGTAAAGTATCTTGGTCCAACAAAATAAATATATTAAGGCTAGGCGCAGTGGCTCATGCCTGTAATCCCAGCACTTTGGGAAACTGAGCTGGGCAGATCACTTGAGGTCAGGAGTTTGAGACCAGCCTGGCCAACATGGCAAAACCCTGTCTCTACCAAAAATGCAAAAATTAGCTGGGTGTGTTGGCGCATGCCTATAGTCCCAGCTACTTGAGAGGCTGGGGCAGGAGAATCGTTTGAACCTGGGAGACAGAGGTTGCAGTGAGCTGAGATCACGCCACTGCACTCCAGCCTGGGTGAAAGGCTGAGACTCCATCTCCAAAAAAACCCACAAATAAAACAAAACAAAAAAAATAAGTATATTAAGATGGTTTTCCTGTTGATAGACAGTAAATATCTAGAGAAAGGAGTCTCACTTTGTGATTCGTACGAAGTCTCATACTGACTGAAGGCAACATTTTGCCATCAGGGCTTGCTTTGTGTGAAAGGACCGCGGTTCCCAGTGCTATGCTAGAATGTTATTCCAAGGGAGATTTTAACCTCCTTCCCACATGACTTTGTCATTCTGGGTGACCTTCTGACATAAATAACTATTGGGAGAGAGAATAGCTATTGCACATAGTAAAATATTCATAGTAGTAGTAAGGCATTCATTTGTATATCACCATATACACAAGAAATTCTCCCTTCTGGCTTTAGTAAAAAATAGAGGCTAGATTTCCAGATGGTAACTGGGGCTGGGTTTGGGGGTGAGCTATTTTTGTGGTGGCAGGTCTTATACCATTTTTTAAAAAAGTTTTTATTATTTATTTATTTATTTATTTTTGGCAGAGATGAGGTCTTGAAATGTTGCTCATGGCTGAGCACAGTGGCTCATACCTGTAGTCCCAACACTTTTGGAGGCCGAGGCAGGTGGATCACATGAGGTCAGGAGTTCCAAGACCAACCTGGCCAACATGGTGAAACCCTGTCTCTGCTAAAAATACAAAAATTAGCTGGACATGGTGGCTGGTGCCTGTAATCCCAGCTACTTGGGAGGCTGAGGTAGGAGAATCACTTGAATCCGAAAGGCGGAGATTGCAGTGAGCCGAGATTGTGCCATTGTACTCCAGCCTGGGCAACAAGAGCAAAACTCTGTCTCAAAAAAGAAAAAAATAAAAATGTTGCTCAGGCTGATCTTGAATTCTTGGCCTCAAACAATATTCCTGCCTCAGCCTCCCAAAGTTCTAGGATTACAGGCATGAGCCACCATGCTCAGCCTAAAAAGTTTTTAATAGGTAATAGTCACATGATTCGAATTGTTTTGAAAAGTATCTACAGACTTGGAATTTAAAGCAAGTGTTTTCTCAGATTCTGTATGCAGGAGGGAGAAAAGTGCCTGCCAGCCTGCAGCCCAGCCTGACACACCTCAGGCTTTTAACGTATGTCACTGCGGAGGGGAAATCTTTTTTTTTTTTGAGACAGGGTCTTGCTCTGTCGCCAGGCTGAAGTGCAGTGGCGTGATCTCGGCTCACTGCAACCTGCCGCTCCCGGGTTCAAGTGATTCCCCTGCCTCAGCCTCCTGAGTAGCTGGGACTATAGGCTCGCGCCACCAGGCTCGGCTAATTTTTGTATGTTAGTAGAGACGGGGTTTCACCATGTTGACCAGGATGGTCTTGATCTCCTGACCTTGTGATCCGCCCGCCTCAGCCTCCCAAAGTGCTGGGATTACAGGCGTGAGCCACCGCGCCCAGCCAGGAGGGGAAATCTTACGAGAAGCACTTGTGCCTGTGAGAGAGGCCTGTAGTCAGAAATTAGGAACTTCTAGAGCTATTTGTCAACATGGGTAGTAACATATCTTTAAAGGGGTCATAGTATTTTTCCAGAGGAAAGAAAACCTAAGAATTTTACTAGCTGACAAATTAGTCCTCTCTTCTTTACGTACTGACAGCTGCTATTTATCTGCTAGCTGGTGTTTTGTCATCAGTGTACAGTGAAACGTCTACTTCCAGCACCTGACCTCACCTGCCCATTTCTCATCTTGCCCCAGATAGCAACTAAGTTTGTTTGTTTGTTTGTTTGTTTGTTTTTTTGAGACAGAGACTTGCTCTGTTGCCCAGGCTGGAGTGCTGTGGTGTGATCTCGGTTTGCTGAAACCTCCGCCTCCCGGGTTCAAGCGATTCTCCTGCCTCAGCCTCATAAGTAGGTGGGACCACAGGCACACACCACCACGCCCAGCTAATTTTCGTATTTTTAGTAGAAACGAGGTTTCACCATGTTAACCAGGCTGGTCTCGAACTCCTGACCTCAAGTGGTCTGCCTGCCTCGGCCTTCCAAAGTGCTGGGATTATACAGGTGTGAGCCACTGTGTCTGGCCTAAGTTCATTTTTTAATGTGTCTTTTCAGTTGCTTTATGTGTACACAAGAACATTCAAATGTGTATGTGTTCTTAATTTTTTTCCTCTTTAAAATGTAAAAAAAAAAAAAAAAAAAAAAATTCAAGTTATCTGTTCTGTGCTGCCCTTCATTTTTAGTTGTCAATATGTCTTAGGGAGCATTCCAGGGCAGCTTGTAAAGCAGTTCCTCGTTCCTTGTTGCTTCGAAGAAGTATTATATGGATTAACCACAGTTTATTTAATCAGTTTCCTCATTGATGGGCTTACAAGTTGTTTCCAGTCTTTTGCCACTTCAAATGCTTCAGTGATGACCTTTATGTTCACACACCATCACACATGTATGTAAGATCACACATGTATGAAGGCAGCCTTCATACTGATCAGAAACTATTATCTATGTCCAGGGCTCCAGAGACCTGCGAGAGTGGATTTTAGGAGAGAAACTGGGCAGCCACAAAGGAGACTCTTGGCCCTTATAGCTTTCTTCCTGAAGGGAGAGCATGCCTTGCCAGTTCGTGGGTTTTCCTTGGAAGTCCCCTGAACCTTCTGGGAAGTATGAAATAACTCAAGCCAAACCTTGGGTGGCAATAGCAGAAAAACCCCTTTTCTTGCATTCATAATAACAGTGCTTTTCCTCTGGATGTGCCAAAAAGATCCAATGAGGATCATCTCACCTTCATGCCTGAAAATCACTTGCTATACGCCAGGAAAGTGTCAATGAGTGGTAATTCCTGCCCTGTAGTCTTAGCCCTGTAGATTAGAACAGGCCCGGCTAGGCTGGGCGTGGTGGCTCACATCTGTAATCCCAGCACTTTGGGAGGCCTAGGTGGGTAGATCACGAGGTCAGGAGATCGAGACTATCCTAGCTAACACGGTGAAACCCTGTCTCTACTAAACATACAAAAAATTAGCTAGGTGTGGTGGCAGGCACCTGTAGTCCCAGCTACTCAGGAGGCTGAGGCAGGAGAATGGCGTGAACCAGGGAGGCAGAGCTTGCAGTGAGCCAAGATCGTACCACTGCACTTCAACATGGGTTACAGAGCAAGACTCCATCTCAAAGAAAAAAAAAAAAAAGAACAGAACCAGCTAGGATGTGCTCCTAGTTCTTAAAACTTGAGTGCAAGAGGAAAATGATTAGAAACTAGGCTATTATTGATCATGGTCCAAGGATGTCCTTCCTCCCCGCAAAGACTGAAGAGGTGACTTTAGCAAGAGACTTCTCCTAAGGGCAATGTGAGTACGAGAAAAAGTTTGGAACAAAAATAGGAAGCAATGGAGCAAAACCAAAAGGAGAGGAAAATGAGAAGAACTTAACCTGTATACACTTATAAGGAAATGGTGATAGAATTTTATAAGCAGGGCTTCTAATTAGGAAAAAGCTAACATTTCCTAGGGATTAGGAGAATAGACCTTTCAAAGCGACACCCTCCCTTCCTCCATCCAACTTGGGGCCAGTTCTGAGTCCTGTGCGGGG